ACAGGATAATAAATCTTATCTTCAGATAATCGTTATCAAGATATTGTAGCTTAATTTTCATCTCAAAACTTTAACAACAACCTAATTCAAGAAAGTGGTATTTATTTTCTTCGCTATATAGTAAATTCTCCTGTTAATTACCTTGTCATATCAAATTAGCTTAAATTTCGATCTTAAGGTGCTTTAATTTTGAAAGGTGAATTAATTAATCAATCTGGTATATACTTGAGGACAATATTTAAACAAAGTGGAAGTTTCATTTTAGAGAACCATATTGAATTATAAAAACGATGAAAATTGATTAATATTTATAATCATTTAATACATTAACATATTTCAGAATCAAATCTTCAAAAATGTAAACAAACAAATACAAAGAACGAATTAATACATATTTACGATGTTAAATTGAATAGAAAAATTTAATCAAACCCTCAGATAAATAATTATTAGTCAGCTTTAAGAAATCATCGATTTACTTATGGTCATACCTGCATAGTTTTTTGATTCACAAATCCATGGGTGATACCTGCATAGTTTTTTGACTCACAAATCCGGAGGTGGTACCTACTGCCTGAATATACTAGGGGGTTTTCCCAAGCCTCTACTGCCGGAATACGAATTTCTATCCGTTTATGGGATGTTAAGACAGGATAATAAAAAGCCAAATTAGATGGTCATTCAAATTGTGTTAATTCAATTTGTTACTCTCCTGATGGTACTACATTAGCATCTGGTAGTTATGATAAGTCTATCCTTTTATGGGATGTTAAGACAGGATATTAAAAAACCAAATTAGATGGTCATTCAGGTTTGGTTAATTCAATTTGTTACTCTCCTGATGGAAAAACATTAGCATCTGGCAGTAGAAATAACTCTATCCGTTTATGGGATGTAAAAACATCAACGGAAATACTCCAATCAGATAGTAGCTATAAAGATTTACTTGCCTAGTTTAACATACCTCTCAAGAATAGCTCCTTATTGCCAAATAGTATTTATTATTAGTTATTATTTAGTTAATCCTTATTGTACAATACTTAGAATATCCTAGAATCCTTTGTTCCAAGCACCAGGAACACTTATCCTATAAGGACAATTCATTAATTATTAAGGGATAGATTTAAAACCATTGTTTAAATCCAAAGGAAGTTGCTTTTTAGAAAACTTAAAGCAAAATTGAATTTGAATATTCATTAGTAACATTACAATTATAATTTTCATCATCTTATTTTTGCTTTTGACTATTCTGTTTTTTTTGTTTCAATTGTTGATCTTCAAATTCTTAGATGAATAATTACATGTTTTTCAATAGTTTTCCATTTCAAGCAAATGATTAAACCATTTTAGTTAAATAATATTTAAATCTTTGGTAAATATTGAGATGCGGTTATAAATTAATATTGATAGATATACAATGCACTATTAAATTTAAAATCTAAAAAGAGTAAATAGGTAAAGTCTTAAATATAGATAATTAATAGTTTAGTAAAATTTAGATTTCTTAGTTT